AGGTTAAAGCTGCATTGTTTTGAGGGGCACTAGTAATGATGAAACATAGCGTTTCAGAGATTTCAATATCAACTTCCTTATTTTATTTAGAACGTTGTATCTTTTTAGATAGCTCTCTTTATTAGCTCTGAATCTAACAGTTGACGAGTAGCTTTGCTTTGTTCCTCGACAATTTACTTACCCGCGCAGACTGGGCAGCACTGGCCAGGTGCAGGGGGAATTGGCTTCGAGCATGGTGTATAGCAATGCAGTCGCGACTCCGTGATCACTCCAGCCTTGCAAGTGAACACTCTGCACGGTTCAGCTTCAGTCCACTCCGTCTCAGACTCGTGGTAGACCCCATTTCGTACGCATCCTTTCAACATACATCACACATTATAAGTACATTACAAAATGAAATTAAGTTCATATTGGGCTGTCTGGAAAGTCCATGCCGATTCGTAGTACGCGGTACAGATCTGAATAAATAACATGTATACATCCCTTGAAAGGTGGAAAGGTTGTGGAACAAAATGGTACATGTATAATTCAATAAATATAAATCAAAATTCAAATATGCCTTCGAATTTTTCTTAAAAATAGGCACTTTTCGGACAACCCAATACCTTAGCAAACTTGTATACATTAAGAAATTCGGAATTTGGTCTGTACGTATTCTCAGTCGAAATTTCGGAAATGTAACACTAAACTCACCGACATTTCATTCGTACCCATTTCTGTCAGAATCGATCGAACGACTGGTCTTTTAAAGATACTTGGTTCAATCGAACTTTCTTTTATCACATTTTTAACTATTCTGATACATTCAGGCCTGTTCTAACGCTACGTATCGAAAATTGCCACAAACTTTCTGGACAATCCAACACTAGAGTATTACCCTTATCGGCGACGTGTCACCTGTGACGTTCTATCGCAGTTTTACCATACGAGTCGTACGTCACGTGGGACGTGACAAGAATGAAAAAGCTGAAACCTGCTGATTACCGCATGCATGAGTAATCGCTTTCACATTTGATTAGTTACGCGCTAGCAGCCAACAAGTCCAGTGACACTTGAGTCACTATTTTACATTTGTTTTAACATTTTACTTCGAAACAATGAGTAATCAGAATGACCGTTAAACGGAGTTACTTGCAACCAAAACCTCTTTAGAATTTTCATTTCATTTCGCTTCTTGAACGTGAATAATTAGATTTTCAAAGTATTAAACAAATACTATATAGCACTACGGAAATAGAGAATTGGACAGAAGGCTAGCGCAAAAGATTCGGATAGGCTTGACATCAGTGGGATAGTCACGCCTCCTACACGCACGCATCCTTCATTGTAACATATTAGCGGGAAAAATGATCGTATCTAAGTAACGAAGACGGTAAATACACCTGTCGAGGCGAAGATGAGACGATTCAAAGCATGCGTTATCAACGCCTGAAACAAACTGCCGAACAGGGGGCAAATAGGGGGCCTAGGAGAGCGCGAAGGGCGGGGATTGGGCGGAGACAAATGAAGATTCCTTCTTGCCCCGTCTTTCCAGCTCGCTATGGTATATACTCGATCCCACGGTTGACCAGACCAGATGACCCGCGGCATTTGCGGTGACAGATTCGCGTCAATTAACTTCGCCCGCGTTGGACGGAAAAGTACCGCGGCGATGTAATCGCGCGCAGATTCGGAACGGTCTCCTCTTCGAAGGCGAGATTAAAGTCTCCGAAGCGAGGAATTTTGTCGTTGGTCGCGCGAACAGGGGCAGGTTTGCGTCACGGGCTAACGTAATTAATAGAAAAAGCGATAAGGAGGCCGCGGCCGAGCCGCAGCATCTGTCGGTCTACGGCTGCCGGTTTGTAAACAGTCGCATGCGCTGATGCCGAAGTTCCTCGGGTTTATCGCGAGTATCGACGAACAGAAGCGCCTTTGTGCCCTGGGAACAATGCTCCGTGCCGGGCATTCCTCTCTTTATCCTCCCCCTCTCGATCTTTCTCATCGCAACGCTCGTGACCCTCACTCAAGCGAGCGACCTGGTCGGTCCTTTGCCACGACCAATTAGAAGGTCATTCCGTCCTATATAGGACATTTCTTGCTGCAAATTCTTGTATCTGGCCCATCTTTCGGTATGTTCGAGTCTTTGATAATGTTTAACCCTTTGCACTCGAATGCCTCCTCTGAGGGGATATCGCAGACTTTGTTAGCGATTGGATAAATTTGAGTAAAATTCTCAAAAGTGATTTCAGATGCTATACGCATCTGAATGTCTACACTTAATACAAGCGACAAACGGCGTTTGTATAAGAAGGTAAAATGTAGGAACATATGGGAGGAAGCTTAAGATTGTAATGTTAAAGATGGGAACTTTGAATGCGTATCAGTGATTTTTTCACGCGTACTAGAATAGTATAAATATCGGCATAGTATAATTTTTGGCATAAATATTTTCTTCAATTTTTCATGTCGTTTTCGCACATCTTTCCATTCTTATCGAATCGAGTCAGATAATTAGGTAAATGGAAAGGTTTACGTACCTTTACACCTGTGGCAGCACTCATCTTCTCGTGGCTCCAGTAACGTGTAGCAACCTTCGATGCTAGGGCACTCTTGTTGCTTTCTGCACTCAACGAAACCGTTCTGCAAAAGAGAAATGACGACGCTGCGGTCGATTACCCCTAGATCTTAACAAAATTCGAAGTTTCGCTCAGAAGGATTATTTCGCTACTTCGTTTGCGATACGACAACGTAAATAATTAAATTGTCCTGATCGGCAGTAATAAAATTAATAAGTGTCGAATGATTTACTCGCATGGGAAATTGAGTTGATATCGGATATCTATAAACGGCTCGACATGAATATAAAACCGATAGGAAATTTAATGACCCTTTACTTTTGCCACTACAAGTAGGCGATTAGAAGCACTACGTATCTGCCAGTTCTTTTAACGCATTTGTAGACACTTTGTACTACTTTGATTCGATACAGTTGGAGGAAAACTTCATACACAGTTGCACAGAAGTTATGTCCACGATGTATCCACTTTTATATCGAGAAATAGAAAAATATCAATGTTGATTGATATTTGTTGAAACGTTGAAATTCCTCGCTCGATGGCCAACTTAAAATTATACAATGAAACAACGTTCCACATATTCGGGACAATCTAGATTGTAGATGAATACAAACTGTGCTCCCTTTCTTGTAACACACCGTATACTACTAGATATACACGTTCGCATCTATCTATCGAACATAAACGCTGAATAAACTATCGCACGGCGAACATTGAAGTCAGACTTCATAAGCTATATTCGAACAAACCCACCCGTTTAGTCGAACGAGGATTAACGTAAACAGTCTCGAAAAGTTCTTAGAAATCACGGTGAAAATATAATATCGCCGTGGGCAAACAAAGTAGGAAATTCCTAGAACGTTACGTCACCGAATGCAAACATTGCCGTGAATGAAATACTTATTTGGAAACATCAAACCTATCGTTTAATTTACACAAATTTCTTCAATAGGCATAGAGTATACAGGGTGTCTACGTATAAGTTCGGACATACACAGGGTGTCAATTCTTCAACAAACGTCTTGGACATTTTCTTTGTGTCGCCTTATTCTCGAGAATTTTCACTTTTAATTTTTGTTCTGCGTTTTAATATTTTTTCTGCGTTTTCGACTCGACACTCTTTAAACGACCATAACTCCAACAAATTACAGCGCTTAAAACTAAGTATACCATTTGAAAGAGCGTTAAATTTCTCATGTCCCTGATGCCAAACACAAATTTATTACGTAGGTTTAATAAGTGAAAAATTAGGTCAAACTTTACATTGTGAAAATTAAAAAAATATTCGACTTTTTCTGTATTCGTTTTTCGGTTTCAAAGACATAGTTGTTTGGCGGGCAATCTTCGGGAAAAACTTCCTCGAAGTCTCAGCTTTTGAACGGTATTGTCAACAAAAAATTGTGCGGTGGTATTTTAGGGAGAAAATTACGTTTAAATGCAGAAAAGCGTTCGAAATGCCCGCCTCCTAAATCAAAACTTATCGGTTCTCCTGCGCCGAAAACATCGATTTTTTGCTGTGTGAAATCGATCGTGTTTCAATCTCCAAATCATTTATCGGTACACCGAGGTTGATTTTGATTAAATAGTCTCTAAAAACGAAAATTCTATGGATACATGTTCAAAAACAATTATTATTCACCTCGCACTGAGGCTTTACACACGGCTGAGAGAGACTTGACGTGTCAAAATATCGTTTCTTTTCCTAATTGGGGAAGCTCGGAACTGTCGCTAAAAAATACCTCATACCCGATGTCAAGTTAATTTTAAACTGACAGGTCGATTTTTGTTAAGAAATATCGATTTTCGCCTAAAAACGTCGGCTTTTCTGCATTCAAACGTCATTTTCTCCCTAAAATACCACCGTGGAATTTTTGTTAACAATACCATTCAAAAGCTGAGACTTCGAGAAACTTTTTCCCGAGGAGTGCCCGCCAAACAACCATGTATTTAAAACCGAAAAACGGCTAGAGAAAAAGTGAAATTTTTTAAAATTGTCACGATGTAAAGTATGACCTAATTTTTCACTTATTAAACCTACGTAATAAATTTTGCTTTGGCATCAGGGATATGGAAAATTTAACGATCTTTCGAATGGCGTACTGATTTTTAAGTTTGCACTGTAATTTAGCGGAGTTGTGGCCGTTTAAAGAGTGTCAAGTCGAAAACGCAGTACAAAAATTAAAAGTGAAAATTCTCGAGAATAAGGCGACACAAAGAAAATGTCTAAGAGTAAATTTTTGTTGGACATTTGTTGTGGAATTGACACCCTCCGTATGTCCGAACTTATACGTAGACACACCCTGTATGGTTCTGATGGTATGTAGATTCATTGTAAAAAGTTGCGAACTATAAAAGGTTGGAAATTTAATACAACAAAATGACGAGTACATACTGTTACGTTAAAGGGACATTATATCGAAGTGCTGACAATTTTTTTTTGCATTCTGCATAGAGAACTTTCGATTTCACCCACACTAATTGTATGGAATTTCCCCTTTAACGTACCTCAACATGCGTAAAATCACTAGATGGCGTACGCAAACGACACATCGTCGCGTAGCACGGAATGGGTTAACAGTGTATGCTCGAAAGGTATAGAATGATCCATGTTTGCGCCTAGAAATCGTTCCTTGAACGTGTCGATTTCATTCGTAGATCCATATGGCTATCGTTGGCTCCCAGTGCAATTATTTCTTTCACCCGTTATCGCGACCTATAATTAAACCCTTGGGATTTATCACGCGGCCGAATTGCGTAAAGCAATTCAACACGGGTCGCGGGTAAGCCGTGTAGCGAACGCGAGAAGGTCGTGGCTCTCGAAAATAACAAAGATTACGTCCCGTCTGAGCGCGAGCGCGAAAGGAGGCTTCCGTTCGCGCCAATGCCCGCCAGCGAAAACGAAAGGAGACGGCACGAAGAAAACGAGCCTCGAGACGTCCTCGAAGGTCGATCGGTCGGATTCAATCGGAGTCGGTCACATTTTTATCTAGATAAACCGAACAACGTTTTATCTCGATGAACTTTCGTTCCGTGGCTCTCGGCGAGTAAATCATCGCTGGAATTTGGAACACTGGCAGAGAAATATTTATTCGGAACGTAAACCACGCGATTATTCCTTATTAATGGGGGAAGCCACCTTGGACGCGCGAAAATCGTAGATACAGTGGGTGTAGAGAGTATTCGTACGCCGATCAATTTCCAAAAAGACTATGTAAAATTGTAATTTATTAACTTATTTTTTATGACCAATGATATTCTACATATTCTCGGAAATCTCTAGAATAGATAGATTACGAAATAAAAATAGCTATTTATGTAAGTTCGGAAATTAACAAGAAAAAGCAATTAATCGATAGAAATGTTGAAGCAATAAATATTCGCATAAATATATAATTTTTAAAACTTCATTAAAAAAAAAGAAATTTACATTAATTTACAAGTATATAATACTTTCTTCGTGGGATTTCCTTTTGATTTTATAATTACTGCAACTCTTCTAAGCATTAAATTAACTAAATTATTAGTTACTCGAAGTGGGATCTTCTTCAATTCCTCTATTAGAGTTACTTTTAAAAGTACTTTACTGGAAATTTGATGTTTTCTAATTCGCACGGAGCAATAAACTAATGTGTTTACGTTACAAACTCTACTGTAAATGGTTCGTCATAAGAATCGTACAAATACTTATTGCCTCTATACTTTTACCCACTTTTCGCATTTTTTTGTTAATTTCCCAAATTGTATTAACTAGTAAATGTTGTTTGGACTATATCTATCTTAGAGACTTCCGTGAATATGTAATATATCATTGATTATAAAAGAAGAAGTTAAGAAACTACAATTTCACATAGTTTTTATGGAAATTGATCGGTGAACGAATACTTTCTACACCCACTGTATGTTCAACAATTTTAATTTCAAAAATAATTGACATATTAGAAAATATGTTTACTGGGGTTCGTTATAGATATATCGAATATACAAAGTAATGAGTATTAATAATTGAAGGAATTTGAATAACAAAGTAATTTTTATTTTCGCATTGTATATAAAACGACGTTGCTCTAATCGGTGTAACAGGATTCTCAGGTATGGTTGTACCTAAAATTAAAAATCAAGTATTTTCATTTTCTACGTGATATAATACATACTGTGAAAGAACACACAGGTGTTTTCAATACATCTGTTTATATAGGAATGGTGAACATTTGAAAAGTAAATCTCGTCGTTAACATAAAAATTACAGTAAAAAATCTGTAGCAAGAAATTGTTCCAAACATATCATTAAATCTGTGTGTACTTCCATAGTGTATCGCGATGAAAATGAAAATCTTTAGTTATTTAATTTTGGTTTAACCATAATTTTACTACTGTGATATAGTACGATCTATAATGATGACAGTAATAACGACGATTTAGCGCGTACGGTGCCAATAACGATCACTATGAGCGATGGTGACAACTAGGTATACACTAAGTGTGGGCTGGTACGACGCGTAAGCTACACAAAAATACTACAAACATCGCATAAATCACAGATTCCGTGTAGAAACACGATAAATGGTACATAATCGGTACAGAAATAGCATAAATAGCACACACGCATGTATTTCGCATACACGCAAATCGCGCGAACACGGACGCGTACCGTAACGGACAGTTTGATCGTTTACATAACGATCAAATGTTTATTCGGTCCCCTACCATCGTCGAAGAAAATGTTATTCGAATGCCAGTCGAATACTCTCTTCGTGAGTCACGAAGTAACTTTTATCTCGGCAGAGTTTTATTCGTCACCCGGCGAATAGTAAATAACGATTATCCCGATAAGTTATTCGAATAAAAATGCTCTTATCCGTATCATTATCCGGGCGAAGATTTATTCGAAGTCGCTCGAACAACACAGCCGGCTCTCCGATGGACGATTTACGAGCCGTTCCGCGACGTTGGCGCGATCGATCGTTTTTGATCCCCCTCGAATGAGAAAATAATTGTGTCGCTCGCAGCTGGCAGGATTCGCCACTCGAAGGCGTCTTCTCGTCAAACCGGAGAAAACAAGAATCTCTCCGCGAGTCGACGTACCAAACGTGCAGATAATTGTCGGCGAGAGCTGACTGTCCTGCTAACATACCGCTCGCGCGCATCATCGCTCGATGATTACTCGGACGATTTTTGCGCCCCACAGGTCTAGATAGCGCGACCAAATCGCGAGGCGAGGCGACCTTTCGAGCGACTCTTCTAACGAGAATATCGCCGGGAACGACTCGAACGTCCAGCGACTCGAGTCTCCTCTGCGTTATCGTTCGACGTTGTTAGATAAATATCGAAAAATGTTCGCAACGTTCGTCGCTGAATTTTCCTGGTACACTTCAGCTTCGAACGAATCGAATTCCCTACGTTACGAAACGAAACGTGTCGCAACCTGTGCTAGTATATAATCTCATAAAATTTTGTCAAAAAATTAAATACACAGTTATGGTCGTCGTTATCATCATCATTGATATTCTCATCTTCATCATTGCCGTCGTTGTCAGCGTCATCGTTATCATCATCGTCCTCGTCACATCGTCATCGTCATGATACGTAGCCAACGTTTATCGTCGTCAGTATCATCTTCATTACACATAATTAACGTTATCATCGTCCTCATACATAGTCAACGTTTTCGTTATTCTTATCGCCATCGTGCACATGTACGCATACACACACGTCCGACGATGAACGAGATCCAAATCTATTCGGATAGGAATTCCATTTCGTGTTCCGTTAGGTGCGATAAAGTCGTTAAATAAATAAATAAATACCTTGACGAATTTACCTTGCATATGCAGTTGAAACACTTGGTGTTCGGGATCTTGTCGACGGTGAAGTCTTCTCCCTCGACTTCGCAGGTCTCGCGGCTACCTGCAATCAAAACCCGTGACGCTAATCACAGCACGAACAGAATCCGGGCAATTGTCGCGCGAACGGATTGACGGGTCGGCGTGTGTCGCGGTCGCGCGATATCGATTTCACGTCGCGATAATTCGCGCGATATTGTCCGACGATCAGGAACGACGTCGCTCGTTCCGACGATCGACCTTCGGGTTCCTCGTTTCCTTGGCGAGTCTCGATTAGGGCTGAGACTTGACGTTCGACCATTCGCATTTAAATGGAGCCAAATACTCGATTAATATTTCGATAATATTTTGCGCGCTGATCTGTATATTAGTATCGATTCAATTGATCGAAAGTGGGAAATTCTGATCCGAGCAATCCTCGCGAACACCGCGCGCCTAATGATTGAGTTTGCCTGGGATGATGATTACTTCATGTAGAAACAAGTAACACACACAAACTATTATCAAACATTAATTAGTATATTGTAAACATTAACACGTCGACTGTCAGATTAATACTCTTGAATATTTCTACTGTGATTAAGATTCGTTTCCAGACTACTGAAAACTACATAATCAAACATTTACTGTGGCATGTATTTTCACAACTTCATCGAAGTTTAAGAATTTCATTCAAATTTATTTTCTTTGATACTCAACGTTCAAAATTAATTTTGTTTGTTCTTCGGTGAAAAGCACTGTCACCCATATATGGGCGACGTGGCGATCAACGTGTTAATTGTAAACTTGAAAATGCATTAACGAACCCAAATATTTGAACTCAATAAATATAACAAAAAATATGGGAAATTTTACACATGTATTTTAAATAACAATCGTGTCCGAAGCACACGCGAGATCGAAAAGATTGCCAGATCCTTTCATTGGAACGCATACGCGCGTCCACAATTCACGATGATAGCTCTCATACGCGTCCATGCATCCAAAGGGTTACTTGTTCATAATTCTCGTAATTATACAGCATTCGAATAGTCTCAGCCCTAATTCTGGCCCACTGCGCGTCGATCATAAGCGTACACGGACGCGGATGCGTGCGCTGCTGTTACTTACGTGTAGAAGTACTCGTAGAGTTACTCGCACTCGATCAGGCCTGCCGCGCGAGTCGCGCACAAAATCTACGGAGAGATCGATGGTTCGGCCAGCCTTAATTCCCAGGCGCAATCCATCGATAATGATCTCCGCTGCTAGGTCGGCGAAGACACCGTCAACGTTCCTCTCGGTTCCCTCGCGCACGTATTCCTGCACACTTTAAGCAACTTTCTTTAAAACGTGCGACTAGCTCCCCATCGCGGTCCACCAACTCAGTTTTAACCGCTAATTCTTTGATTCCTCCTACACGCTTTCCAGCGGCCGCGCAGTTGTCCACGCCGTTCCCTACCTTCCTTTCCCAACCGTTTCTCACCCCGTTACTTGCGTCCCTGCTCGTCACGCAGCGGGCCAGAATTCACCCGACAAAAGTGAAATGAGAAATTCGTGTTCGCATAGTTTTCGTAATCTACTCGCAACAACATGGTCTAAATGAAACTTCTGTGACTCGTGTAATAGGGGTACTGATAAGATGACGCTTTGAAGTAATACTCATCGTGTCTGTGTAGTATCATTCCAGGACTAAGTTGCTGGAAATATTCCATTGACATTAACTTTTGATTACCATCAGGCTATTTGGTGATATTTCATTGATAATTGCCACACGAAACTATTAAATCAGATTAACTCTTGTGTAAGAGTTCGCTCGGTTCTGCAATACTATCAGATATTCGAGAGTGATTGAACGACATTAGATTTCTGACGTTTTCACTAAAAACGCGACACGACGTTCTACGCTGTCGATGTAAAAAAAAAAAAAAAAAATGAATAAAATTCTGTGCAGAATATATCCTTTTGAGAATCGTACACTTGGCAAGCGAAAGAATCATTTTCTATTTGGATCTTTTAGAAGTGAAGAATTATCCAAATAACATTTATAGAAGAAATGAACGTAAAGGGTAGAAATGCTTATGGGACTGACAGTAGGTCCCAGTAGTTTTTTTTAAATAAGATACTAGTATCCCCTAGTGTAGATAATGTTTTGTTCTTCAAATTGACAACATTTTCAGTACAATGCTCGAAGAACGCAATGATTGTCGAAGAATTCGCAAAGTTTCGCAACTTTTTACGAATCCCATCGGACATGCTTGACGTGTCTTTTTTTTTTCTTTTTTTTTTTTCTTTCAAGTGCGCAGGAATGCGTGCGAGAAAGGACGCGGAGTTGGCGTTGGCGTTCGCGGCCGGTTTCTTCGCGTTCACGCTCTCCCTCTCTCACTCACTTTCTTTCTCTCTTTTTCTCTTTGTCTCTCTTCTCGCCTCCTCCCCTCTCTCATCGAGTATCGTTTCGCAAAACGCGAAAGCGAAGAACGCGTTGTTTGCAGCTCGTTTCGTTGTTCCGTCGATTGTATTACTCGTAATTTTCGAGCGAACCGAGAGATAGTAACTTGAAAGCGGGAACTATCGCGCGTTGGAAACAGAAACGTGCGAAACACGTCGGTGGTGATAGCTCGATCCAATGGGTGCATCCAGAAAGGCCACCGATCACTAAGTTTGCTTTATAAGCGGATGAGCTTAGAAATGTTTCGTTCCCAAACATGGTGACGGCTCCCAGTAGCAATCAGTATCTGCAGAGAGCAGTAGTCACGTTTTGAAGCGAAAGATTGTTAAGTTCATCCCCTTACCGAGCGCTCGCAGAGCAGCTTACTAAACAATAGCCTTCATGAGCGGATAAGCTTAGAAATGTTTCGTTCCCAAACATGGTGACGGTTCCCAGTAGCAATCAGTATCTGCAGAGAGCAGTAGTCATGTTTTGAAGCGAAAGATTGTTAAGAGCGCTCACAGAGCAGCTTACTAAACAATAGCCTTCATGAGCGGATAAGCTTAGAAATGTTTCGTTCCCAAACATGGTGACGGCTCCCAGTAGCAATCAGTATCTGCAGAGAGCAGTAGTCATGGTTTGAAGCGAAAGATTGTTAAGAGCGCTCACAGAGCAGCTTACTAAACAATAGCCTTCTGAATGCACCCAAAGCTGCAGAGAGCGATCACCGTATTAGAAAGCGACAAATTTTCAAGCTCACTCCGTCACAGAGCAGCTTAATAAACAGTCCCCGTCACGGTGGATCCAACCTCACGACACGGTCGATCTCTCTCAAAAGCCCAAATTTGAATCTCACTGGCCGAAAGTAGCGCACGCGCGCGTCAGAAAGGGAGCGAGAGAGGGTGGCGCGAAAACAAAGGGAAACGATTTCGACGGTGCACCGCGCGATACGTCGGCGACTTGCTCTCCCGAGTCATCGAGTCGAGATTCGACCTGACTCGGCGCAAATAGACCGGCAGATAATGCAGATAGACTAAGAATAGAGCGTTTAAAACTCGTAAATAGAGCGTGACGCGCCTCGCTCGCGGTTCTCGCGAGTACGCGAGCCGCGATTGACTTTCGATCGCGACCGGATCATTCCTGAATTCGCGGACCGGCGCGGCTCCACCGCCTCCGGGGATAATCGCCAGCTCGCCTGCGCGCGCTTGTTCGCGAAAATCAAGAGAGATGGGCAAATTTGATTGCGATATAAGTAACACACAGTGTTCAGATTGTGTTTGTTCTTTTAGTCGGTTATTTATACTTGGATCCCAAGACAATGCTCGGCTTTAGTTGAACTGTTAATTCAAGGAACTTTGACACTAGTAAACGTACAGTTTGTGAGCAGCTTGAATGAAGATTATCGAACTAGATAAAGTACTCGTTGAAGCTTTATTTTTCTATTATAACTCTATCACTTGCTTAAAAAGAAAATGTTACTAAATTTTTTATTCGATTGTATTATCAAGATAATATTTTGCCCATCTCTGATACACGACGCTTCTATGGAACGCTCCGACACTCACCTATTATGCTTTCCGAGGCGCCGCAATGTGCGACCGATAAAAGGAACGTCAGACCCAGAGTTAGGGTCAACGACATCGAAGGCACTCGCGTCGACTCCATATTTGTCTTCGCCATTGACGATTTACTGGAATAAAAGAAAACAATAGTTGTAATAGAATATTTACATTACGCGAACGATTCCTCGAAGCAACGCGAGGATAGATACGTGAATAGGTTCGAGCGGGTGTTTAGCGGCGCACAATAACCCTCGACGTGATTGAGTCCACGCGCGATACTCACAGCAGTAAATAAATGCCATAGCGGCCTAGAAAGAATATTAGCGAGATGATTCAAGGGCAAGAGGAAATAATCCTCTGTCGATCGAGCACTTCATCTCGACAGGTGTATTTCCTGTCCTCGTTACTTAGATACTGATAATGTTACTTAGTCATTTAGATAATGGTCGTATGACCATTTCGGCCAATAACATGTTACGCCGAAGAATTCGTATGCGTGGAGTGGTGATTATTTCACTGGTGTCAATTCTACCCGAATTCCTCCCGCTGATATTCTTTCCAGCTCCCTATAGTACTAGAAATGGCGTGAACTGCTACTTTTGAATCGCTCGTGATTCAATCACGTTCATTCTCAATCACGGTGATTTTTCACAGTGATTCGTGATTCTTCGTGATCGTTTCTGATTGCTACAGAACATTCTTTCCACTTTTTACGAATTATGTTGTTCATAGATTATATATGTATTATAACATGGTCTAAAAGCAACGTTAATATAATTTTAATACAATTCAAATTTGGCTCATTTGTAGTTTCTTGAGTTTCCGATAAGGGGAGACAGCGGGACACTAACGATATATTGGTTTGTCCGGAAAGTCCGTGCCGATTTTTGATAGGTGGTATAGGTCTGAATGTATCGGAATGGTTGAAAACAAATAACGCGTATACATCCCTTAAAAGGTGGAAAGGTTATGGAACAAAATGGTACTTATGTAATTCAATAAATATATATTAAAATTCAAACGTGCCTTTGAATTTTTCTTCAAAATTGCCACGAACTTTCTGGACAGGCCAATATAACAATTAACACGAACCGCTTCTGAAACGCCATCTTCCGGATCACGGTCGCGATCGAAGTTTAATCACGACTGCGATCGCGATTGTGCGATCACCATGAAAAATCACTGGTGATGATTGTTCACGCCTATATAGTACCTCGGCGAAATACTGCCCGTACCTCCGAGACTTTGATATTTTGAACATGCTCCACTTCTCGCGAAAGGCCAAAGTCGGGGCACTCGATGTTAGGAAAACTAGCGTAGTACCGCGCCTCTCGTAGCCAACGTAATAAGAAGCTAAATAAGAACGCGGCTGGTCTCAGCGAAAAAAGTGGTCGACTGCCAATCCAAGAGTGCCGAGTACGAATCCACCGAGCCTTATTTTTCGTTGGACACTCCAACGCTATTTTTTGTTCGATTCACCGAGGTCGTATACTCGAAGCCCCCCCCTCCGTTGAACTTCAATCTTACGCGTTGGACGTTTATTCTTGGGTTTCTTGTACCGCTGAAGTTTACAATAAACAACACCAGGTTACCAAGCCGGACACCCGACGCGGCAACAAACAAAACGAACAGAAAGGAGCGCGTGAACGTGCACGGAGATCGGGAAACTGCCTCTCGCGGTTCTGCGCCGTGAAACGCAGCGATCTACCAACGGATTATTGTCGTAACCTTCCGTCCGTGAGTATATTTGCGCTAGATCTTTCGTATATTTTCACGAGTCAGCCGCGTTACTGCGGAATCTTTCTTCGAAAATCCATAACAGCCGGGTTCGCGGTCGTTCCAAGAACAACGACGCAGTTACAAGGCGTGTCGGTGAACATCGCAACGTTCCTAAGTAAGCTGGCAAGCCTACACGCTCCGTTCGTCGACGATCGTTTCGCACGGTCGTCCTTACGCGGATTCGTAAACGCGATGGCGACAAGAGACGAGTACTAAAGGCACGATCGGGTCGCCATTTAGCGTTGGGGTATACTTGTGATACAGTACGGGACAATACGATAGCCAGAACTCGGCTACTTTTGATATTATATTCTTTGAAATATTTTTTCGTATCATTCTAACGGCATGGTTTTTCCTAATTATTTGTCTATCTAGTCCATACAGTGTTCATGGTAACAATCCGCATGATTTTTTTTTTCGAAGCATTTCTGATAATTTCAGTACTAAATGTTAGAAACAAGTAAATTATTTTTCAGTCGCCTGTATATTAAAGTATTCAACATAGTAACGAATCCCACAGATTGCTTTGCAATTTAGTTTTACTACATGTGCTCTCTTGGAAGATCTCTTTCTTTTGTCTTCATAAACAAATGGTA